ACTGCATTGGCATTCCAAATAAATCATCTTCTTTACCCCCAACAACTAACTTGTCCTGGATTCACTGAGCCCCCTTTAGAGCAATGAGTAAATTGACTTGTGTTCAGTAATAACGTGAAATACCAAAAACAAAAATTTTGTTTTGAAAAAAAAATGTGAAAAGGGGAAGATGGATAATTCTTGGAAACATGCTGAATGAACTGTATATTTTCTGTGCTCATTCTGATAACTAGTTTTTCTCGATGACTGGCTTACAAATTAGATAGGAAAATCTTGGCTGGGTTTGTGGCTCAGTGCTTGTCTCACATGTGTGAGACATTGGGTTCAATCCTCGACACCACATAAAAATAAGTAAAATAAGGACTGAGGTTGTGGTTCAGTGGTAGAGTGCTTGCCACATAAAAATAAATAAACAAATAAAGGTATTGTCCATCCCCAACTATAAATAAATAAATAAATAAATGAACAAACAAATAAATAAAGAAAGGTATTGTGTCCATCTACAATAAACATTCAAATTTCAACTGAATTTATTGTTTTTAGAATAGGCCTTTCCTCTGAATATTCCATTATTTTGATTTCTATTTTTAATAAGAATGCAGTAGAGGAAGGGTGTGTTAGTGTATGTCATAATCCCAGCTACTTGGGAGGCTGAGGCAGCTTGGGCAATTTTGTGAAAGCATGTTTCAAAATTAAAATTAAAAAGGGCTAAGCACATATCTCAATGGTAGTGTGCACATGGGTTCAATTCTTAGTACTACTAAAATAAATAAATTAATTAATTAATAAAAATTTAAAAGCGGGGGCTGGGAATGTAACTCAGTTGTTGAGCATTGGCCTACCTTGCACAAGGCCCTGAATTCAAGCCCATGTACGGGCAAAAAAGAATGGAATGGAGTCTATATTATTTTATATTATTTTCTAGAATTCTGAAAACTAAGTCCAAATAGTTTGATGTCTTTTACAAAAGTGATTTTGCTTTTTTTGTATTTTCAAGTGTCTTAGAGCATAAAACAAAAGTTTATCAACCGACAATTACTAAGAAAAATGTTTTATTTCATTCAATTTTGTACTTTTGGTTTGCTTTTCTATCACTTCCATGGCAGAAAGTGATATATCTTTTCATTCAGAAGAGTTTCAAATAGCTAGCTATTTTAGCATTCTATTTACATCATTAAAGAATTTCACACTGTCTAGAAGAAGAGGTATTAAGAGTAACATATTTCTGTGAGCTAGAAGCTATAATGTGGTCATAGAGCTTGAATTTAAAATAATCACCAAAATTTTATTCTAATTCCCTAGCCACCAAACAAAACACAAACACATTTTTTTCTATATCTTATGTTTTGTGGAAAGAAAAATTATTATAAGTTGTGTTTATACTAGGCCCTTTGTACAGCCTTCATTGAAAAAGATAGTTTTCTATCTCATTGTTTTCAAAATAAATTCCACAAATTAAAAAAATGAATAAAAATGAAAATATATATCATGAAAAAACATTGAAATTTATTGCAGCTAAGCTAATTTACAATACTGAAGGATGTTCTTTAGTATGAAATAAAAGTCCACATTAAGAAACAAAGTACACTGTTGAAAGGAAATATACAGGTAAATATAAAATTCAGCATAAATTTATTTTGTGTTTATGACTTTTTTCTTCTCCCATCTGATTTCAATGATTACTGCACATGCAATAATTATAAAAATTTTGATGGGCTTATAAAATGTATAAATAGGTAATGTGTATAACAATAACAGAACAGAGAAGTTGGGAGGGAACATACACACAGAGAAAAGTTTTGTAATCCATTAAAATTGTTGGTTTGAATCAGAAGTAGATTGCTTTAAATTAAGAACCTAATTATAAACCCATATCAAAAGAAAATTGGTAAAAAAAAATAAAAGGAACAACAAAGGAATTTTAAAGTTAAACTACAAAATATCTGCTTAACACAAAAGGAGGCAACAAGCAAGGAAGAAGGTTACAAAAAAGCTTAGCACATATGCAAAACAAACAGTAAAATACCAGGCATAAATCCTATCTTATTTATAATTACATTACATGGAAATGGTTTCAATACCCAAATCAAAAGACAGATTGTCACAGACTTGATTAAAAAAACAGGATAGGATAACCATAATAAACACTATTTGGATTAAAAAACATAAATACATAAAAGAATGGATAAAAAGATATAGCAGTAAAAAAGAAAAGCCTAGCACAAACCTTTAATTTCAGTGGCTTGGGAGGCTGAGGCAGGAGGATAATGAGTTCAAAGCCAGCCTCATGAACAGCATTGTTGAGGCCCTAAGCAACTCAGTGAGACCCTGTCTCTGAATAAAGTACAATATAGGGTTGGGGATGTGGCTCAGTGGTTGAGATCCCTGAGTTCAATCCCTGATACTTCCAACCCCAAAGACATAGCAGTAAAAAAAAGAGAGCTGTATTTGCTATATTAATATCAGAAATATTTGCTAATATGAGGAAGACAACAATTATAAATATATGCATATAACAACTGAATTTCAAAATATATGAAGCAAAAATGAACAGAACTGAAAGGAGAAATTTAATAACGGTTGGAGACAACAAAAACCCTCTTTCCCCTTGCTTCTCCTTTCATTTCCTCCTTTTTTAGACAGGGTCTTACTCTATAGCCCAGGGTGGCCTTAAACATTTCCTGCCTCAGCCTCTTAAGTAGATGGAACCACAGGCAAGGGCCACTACACCAAGCTTTATAATCTACTTCAGTGATCAACACAATAATAATCCAAAGCCATCTTAAAGCCAAAGTTTTGGTGAATCAGAAAACATAGATTAAAAATAAGTCATGTGGGTGGGTTGGGGGTGTGACTCAGTGGTAGAGCACTTAACTAGCATGCATAGGTCCTGGGTTCAATCTTCAGCACTGCAAAAAGAAATGGGGGTGGGTGGAGGGAAAGGGAGAGAGGAAAACGAGAAGGAAAAGGAAGAGAGGGGAGGGTAGTGGTGGGAGAGGAGGCAAGGGAAAAAGCAAAAGCCTGGCCAATATATGGAGGGAGGGAAGGAGGGAAGGAGGAAGGAAGGAAAGAAGGAAGCAAGGAAGGAAGGAAGGAGAAATATAAAAAGTCAGAAAGAAAGTGATGAGAGAGAAAGAAAGAAATACAGACAGACAGAAGGACAGCCAGCCAGCCAGCCATCTGGGGACAAAAAAGAATAAAATGAAGTAGAGCTATTAATGGAATAGCATCAGACTGAAGGTCATCATACATCTGCTATTAAATCCCCAAAGCTACTTTCAATCTAAATCTACCTTTATGAGGACAATACAAAAACAGTTCCAGGGCTGGAAGTATAGATCAGTGGTAGAGTACTTGCCTAGCAAGCATGATGCTCTGGATTCAATCCCCAGAACCAAAGGAAAAATGAAGTCTAGTTCCCACTCTTGAATTCTGTATTAGTTGTTTGTTGTTGCTATAACTAATTACCAAAAATTTAGTGGCTTAAAACAACATAAATTTATTATCTTAAAGTTCTATATATTAAAGTCTAATATGGGGGCTGGGGTTGTGGCTAAGAGGTAGAGCACTTGCCTAGCATGCATGAGGCACTAGGTTTGATCCTCAGCACCACATAAAAATAAAATAAAGATATTGTGTTCACCTATAACTAAAAAATAAATATTAAAAAAAGTCTAATATGGGTCTCGGGTCATAAAATGTGGGTGATGGCAGGGCTGCACTCTTTTGGGAGGCAACAGGAGAAATCTGTTTCCTAGACTTTCTAGCTTCTAAAAGCTGCCTGGTCTGGGCATGATGGTGCATGCCTGTAATCCCAACAGCTTGGGAGGCTGAGGCAGTAGGATCATGAGTTCAAAGCCAGCTTCAGCAACTTAGCGAGGCACTAAGCAACTCAGTGAGACCCTGTCTGTAAATAAAATACAAAATAGGGCTGGGGATGTGGCTCACGGGCCAAGTGCCCCTGAGTTCAATACTAGGTACCAAAAAAAAAAAAAAAAAACCACCAAAAAACAAAACTGCCTGTATTTCTTGGTTTGTGGCCTTCTTCCTTCATCTTTAAAGACAGCAGTGTTACATCTCTCTAATACTGTTTCCCTTATCATATATTTTCTCTGGTCTCCTTTTCTGTCTCCCTTTTCCACTTTTTTGTTGTTGTTCAGTGCTGGGAATGGAACCAAGGTCTCATGCATGCTAGGAAAGTACTCTCCCACTGAGCCACAACCCCAGCCCTCCCCCTCTTCCTTTTTTAAGGACTCTGTCCTTACACTGGATGCACGATGATCTCCCTATCTTAAAGTCACCCGATTAACAACTTTCATTCCATCTGTGATCTTAATTTTCCTTTGTTATATAATCAAATCCAGTCATATGTTTTAGGTCTCTGAATATGGACATCTCTAAATGACCATTATTCTTCCCACTGCAAATTGTATTGAGATTTTGCACATGTCTATGTCTTTACAATATACTCTCAAGCTCAACTTTTACTTGGTACATGTAACCAAAGAAGCCTGATCTGATTAGTACTTCTTTAATAGTTGACACTGACCCTCTTTTTTCCAAACTGACTATATGTATTTTACTAATATTCTTATGAATAATAAAGATCTCTTACTTCAGATAAAGTATGAGACTATTTTAAAGGTTATCTTTGTGATCAATGAACTTGCCAAGAAACTCTAAATGCAAGACCAGTGTTTCTCATTGACTGATAACGTTTCAAGGAAAATTCTGGAAAACAATATTGGGTTTCTAGCTGTTTGTTTTCCGAATGAAAACATAAAACAAACTCAGCAGTTCTCAACATCTGTCAATTATCCTCATCATTCCTACACAAAAGAACATTTAACATAAAAAATCGAGAAAAGAATTTTGTAATAATTTGCACTTATTTAAATAATTTTATCTTAATAAAAACCAAACTAAAATTTCATTCCTTTCTATTTTTGCTTAACTTTTGACCAGGTTTTTTTAAACATTTACTTTCATGATTGATTTACCTGTTGCAACCAAGGAATTGTCTGCGTGTGTCAAGGATTGGGGGCGGCTGCGAAGTTTACTTTTGAAAGATCTTGGTCGACGTGGTGATGCAGGTGGCAAAGGAATCTCTGAAGATTGTGCTTTGCTATCTTTAATTGACCGAAGACGTTCATAGAGCTCCTGAAGCTCTTTATTCTGCTGGGTTTGAAGATTTACCACCTCCTGAATGTGTCTGAATGCAAACCATGCAGAAAATAATTTAATGATTTTATACTAATAAAAGTAAAGGTTAACAAAATTTTAGATTAAGAATGGCAAAATATAGAGTATTTTCACTATTTTAGAATGGGAAATGCTTTCTGAAGCATAACCTTAAACTAATTAGTCCTAAAGAAAAAGATGAACAAATTGACAAGAACAAATGTCTAAAATTTCAATATAGATAAAACAAAATTTAAATGTTAACAGTTTGATAACATCAACCTTTCATTATTAAATGTTGAAAGTATAAATAGGAAGAAAATATTTATAATGTTAAAAGAAGAGTTAATATTCAGAATTTATAAATAGATCCTAAACATCAGTAAGAAAAAAAACCAAATTGATAGAAAAACAGGCAAAGAATATGAAAAGGTGATTCTAATGAAGAGGAAATACAAATAACAATAAGTATGAGATTATGTTCAAACTTGCTATTAATCAAAGGCACAAAATATAACTGGGGGAAAAAACATACATAGTTTGGGAGGCAGGGTCTTGCTATAAAGCCCAGAATGGCTTTGAAATTATAATCCTCCTGCCTCAGCCTCACAAAAGCCTGGGATTATAGGCACGTGACACTGCACCCAGCTAATAAAATATTTTAATTTATCTGAATATGAGTTAAAAAATTCATAATATCCAGTCTACAGTTGTTAAGATGTGGGTAAACAGATACTTTCAGATATATTTTTTTGAGTACAAAATGGTATAGCTATATTGGAACACAGTTTTAACACTATCACTTTAAAATTTATAACATTTTAATTTAGCAATTACATTTTTTAGCTTATAATGACATTTATGCTAAATATGAAAATAGTTTATTAGCTGTGTTTTGTTTTTAAACAAGGAAGAAGCAGGTGTGGCCTAAAGCCTTGTCCACAGGCCTGCCTGGCCAATGGGAGGTGATGTGTTTGCAGGCCTGATTTAGTGTCTTTCCACGTGGTGTCCCTGCACCCCACTCTTGTCTCGCCTGCCTCCATCCTCAATGCTCCTTAGGGCTTCCTGTGTGCCCCACACTCTCCTGTATCCTGCCTTCACAGAGCTCCTTCTCCTGGAACATTCTCCCTCTGCTTGAAGCCCATTCCAGGTACTGTCTGTGGCTTGGCCTCCAAGAGCTGGGAGTCATAGAAGTGCTCAGGGTTGTGCCATTCAGATGAACAGCAGCCGTGGACCGAGTTTGATTGAAGAGAGGCAATGGGTGATGAATATAGCCTGTGGGGGCATTTGCTAGATCCCTACCAATGCTACCTGGAATGAGGGCCACTTTCAGGGGTGCCACCTCACTACAATGAGGGCATTCCTCAGTGGCATCATGAAGCAGTGGTGGAGTAAATTTCAGGAGCTTCTGAGGGAGAGTCCAGGGCCCCGATGTCACCTGGAGCAGGTGAGGGACTGTGGAGTTGCTGACCTTCATGTGGGATGTACATGGCTCTGACCTGTTCAGTTGCACCTTGGGGTATTCACTGCTGTTTCCCCCAAATTCATGTTCTACAGAACCTCGGGATGCACCTTATTTGGAAATAGATGTGTGTAGCTGAGATGAGATCTACTGGGTTACGGTGGGTGGGCCCTAAGCCAATGGCCAGTGTCCTCATAAGAAGGTGATGTGAGGATAGAGACCCACAGGAAAGGCCATGTGCTGATGGAGGGACAGTGGCCTGGCCTGGCTGCAAGCCAAGGGACACCAAGGACTGCCTACATATCTATCATAAAAATAATTGTATAGCTATGTAAAAAATACAAAAAAATGTTTATTTCAGCATTGCTTATATAAGTAGAACTTAAGGCAGACTCAGTGATGCATATCTTTCATCACAGCACTTTGGGAGGCTGAGGCAGGAAGATTCAAGTTCAAGGCCAGCCTTAGCAACTTAGTGAGACCCTGTCTCAAAAAAAAAAAAAAAATTAAAAAGGACTAGAGATGTAGCCTAGTTTTTTAAATTATTAAAAAAACAAAACAGATTTCAGATAACAGCATTGAAGGGCTGGGGATGTAGCTCAGTGGCAGAGTACTTGTCTGGCATTTGTTGGGCCTTGGGTTTGACCCCCAGCACCACAAAACAAAACAAAAAACTCCCAGCAATATAGTACTGATATCACAAGTATTAAACCACTTTAAAAAGAACTATTTTATTATAAAAGTATAGGTGTACATGTACTGCATAATACTTATTGTATAGTAAAGTTGATAAATACATAATGTGTAGTAAAGTCAAACCTATGTAAGTATATTTTGTGTGTGTGTGGTAGTAGAGAGTAAATGTAAGGCTTCATACATCCTAGGCAAGTACTCTACGACTGAGCTACATCCTTAGCCTTTTATTTTGAGATAGGGTTTCACTAAGTTGTTCATGCTGGTCTTATCATCCTGCTGCCTGAAACTACCAAGTCACCAGCATTATAGGTATGCACCACTGAGCCTGGGTCTGTATATCTCTGTATATATAGTTTAAAAATAGAACAACAATCTTCCATTGATGAATGTTTAAAACATTCTCAAATTCCTTCTAGGCTCCAGTCAAAAACAAAACACAACACAACCACAGAAATTAGTTGAAGAGAAAATGGTAATATAATTATCTCATTGACATGTGGAATTTGAGGTTTGGGTTTTTTTTTTTTTTTTCTTTTGGGCAAGGGCTTAAAAACTGGGAAAATTCCAAGGATTTTAACCAGCTTTCGTTCTTAAAGCACTAAAACACAGTACTCAATTGAACCATTAATCAAATATGTAAGAATCTGGCTAAAATCTAAATTTTTTCCATACCTTTATTTTTCTCTCCTCTCTGATTCTCCCTGCTTTCAAGTTTTATGTCCCATAACAGAATAGAAATTCACTAAAGCAAAAAGTACACTAAAAATTGCTTGTTAACGGGGTATGCTAGTGCAGGCCTATAATCCTAGCAACTCAGGAAGCTGAGGCAGGTGGATCCCAAATTTGAGGCTAACCTGGGCAACTTATCAAGACCTTGTCTCAAAATAAAAAATAAAAATACTATGGATAGAGCTCAATGATATAGAGCTATGGGTTCAATCCCCAGTACTGCCCATCCCCCAAATTGTTTTCAATTTTTCAAAGTAATGGCATCAAGCCATCAATAAGAGGCAAGTAATTAATTTGAGAATGTATATATAGTGCGTTACTATGGAACTGGAAAACTTTAATAATGCAGAAATAGTTCTAAAACACAGTGAAATGGTGAAAAAGCAAGATAAAATAGTTTGTATTATAATTTACTCTTTTGGGGAAAATGAAGAACAAAATATGTATACATTTGTTTGTGCATCCATAGACAAACTCTAGATATACCAGAAACAGTTATTATTTGTTTCCTCTAAGGAGAAAAATTGGGTAGTTTGGGTACAGTGGTAGGAGGGAGACCCAACTGATTAAACCTTTTGAATTTTGAAACATGTGAACCAAGTAAGAATATGGCAACTTTATATTAATTTTTGAAAATATATAACCTAGTTTATAACTCTAAATGCAAAACATTGACAAAACATTATCACAATATCATTAGTGAAGGTTGATAACCTCATTTACCAAATAACAAACTTGACCTTACTTACCAAATATGTAATTATACAAGAATAATTATAAAATCTTAATCCAATAGTCCTGATGGATAAGGATTTAGAAAGTAAGCAAAAAGAATAAACAGCCAATTAATATTAGTCTCCAAACTATGAAAATATTTTGTATGCAAGCATTTTAACATTCATAAAGGTCTTACATTACCATTCTTTGTAGTTTTTAATCATAAAAAGATTATAATCATTAAAATGTCACCAATACTAAATTAGCCACAAATCAAATTTTAAGCTCTATAAAACCCAAGACAATCGGATTTGTGACAGAACAGAGTCCTTACTTTTCTCGTAATCTTTGAAGTTCCACTTTTAAGTCTTCATCCTCTATTTCTGACTCATCATCACTGCTCATTGGGGAAGATGGAGAATAGAAGAGTGAACTCTGCGTTTGAGCATAGGCTTGTTCTTCATGAAGGGGTAAGCTCTGATCACTTTCTGGACCAGTTTTTGCCGCTGCCTTCCCATTATCAGCAAGAGTGGCTGAAAATTCACTCGCAGAACTAGGCTGTTTCTCAGCAGGCAGTATCTCTCTCTGTTTAAGCAACAGTTCAGATCCAGATTGCATGCTACTTCCCGTGGCTGAAGTTTCTTCTAATTCTTTTTCTGGGGTCACTGAAGATACATCAGTCTCACAAGCTGTGCTGAAAGACAGGAAGTTGTCTAATTGTTTGGAAATCCCTTTATCTTCTTTAAAGGTTTCATGAAGAGTTTGTAACTTCTGAGAAGAGACTGAAGTCTGAGGATTGTGCATGGCAGGTTCCACTTCTTGAGACTTTGCAGTTTCACTAAAGGCCAGAGCTTCTTCACTGGACTGATTCGATATTTCCTTGAATGCTGGTCGGTGTTCTATTCCAAAAGATGTCACTTTCAATGACTGCTGCTGAGGAACCGTAATCACCTGAGATATAAAAAGGTATAAGTGTCTGGCTCCACCTAAGTAAAGGGTAACTACATGAAAAAAATTCAACATCAATACACAGCATAGACAAATGCTACAATGCACATGTATTGCTATTACCAAAATCTGAAAGTCCATCTCTATTCCCCATATCATCTTTTAATTGGACACCTTGTGTAAAGACAGTTGCTTTCATATTTTTCAAATAAAATTCCACAATTAAAACTGCTGATATTCTAAAGAGCATGAGATTAAATTCATAAAATAGATGACACGACCGCCCACCAAAATTGATGACTCATTTCTGTGATCTATTCCAGTTACTAAAATCCCCACTTCATTAGACTCACCTTTACTGATGGCTTCAAAAGGTGAGAGGATATGTGTAACGTGACCAAAAAAGTATGATCTAAAGACCAATCTGCAAATGTTGTTTTTGTTTTCTGCAGTGCTGGAGATCAAATCCAGGGTCTCACTTATTTGAGGCAAGTGCTCTATCACTGAGCTACCTACGTTCACAGCCCTTTCATAAGGCCTTTATAGATTAAGGATTCAACCAAAGACACAAACCTGAAACCGACCCCGCTGAAATGATCCACGCATCGTTTTACATCTACTCAAAGCCCTAGTATCAGCCGTGGACTCCCGTGTCAGTGGAATGGGATCAGGAGCAATTGCTGATCTTGTATCTTCTGTTTCCACTGTAAGTTTTGTCAAATTATAAGCAGAAAAGAGAAAATTGTTAAGACTAAATTTGTTTACATTATCAAAAATGAAGAAAAGCAGAAAAAGTTTAACTCCTGCTAGACAATTAAAAGGTGTTAATGTAATAAGCAAAATTGTATAAGTCCCTAACTCTAATCATACATTGTAAGATTTATCCCAAGACTTAGTATCTATATGAAATGAATAACCAGAAAACCAAATTAATTACTAAAGGAAAAAATAAAATGGCAATGACATTAATGGGACATGTCACATACATGGGCTATGTGGAAAAAGTGACAAGATTTGTGTATGAACAACCAAAAAAAAAAAAAAAACATAAGTAAATGAAAAGTGATGTTACCTAGTCTATGTCCCTGACTGTAAGCACACTACCTTGATGGACTTTTGATCTCTTGAAAAAGCTGGTTGACTGCCGTAGCCTGTATGCCCAGCTTTTTAATTTGCGAGTCCAGGATTTCTTGCTAATAGGATTTTTGAGACTAGGACAAGTAAAGCTTAGGCCAAAATATCCACCTCCTGTCTGCAGATGAATGGCTCCACCGCTTGACACAGCAGCAGGATAGGCCTCTGGATCCCCTGGAAGTGAAGCATCTGGGGACATCTCCTAATGGAGACAAAAAATAAGAAAACACAAAGTAGCAGTGATTTAGTTAAGTTGGAGAAATTTTTTGCCTAGTGCAATTTCTTATGTGAACTAATCATTAATCATAAATAGGATACTTCCAGTTACGCAGGAGACTAAAACAGGAAGACTGCAAATTTGAGGTCAGTCTCAACAACTTAGTGAGACCCTATCTCAAAATAAAAAAAATAATAATAATAAAATAAAATAATAAGAGGTGCTGGGAATGTAGCTCAGTAGCAAAGTGTCCCTGGGTTCACTTCCCAGTAATGGAAAAAAAATAGGATACTGTATATAATTATATTATAGTACTATATCAGACTGAACCTTAAGTACTCAATTTATAGAAATTAATCCTTTCATTTCTTTCTCCATTTTTTGAGGTATTGGGGATGGTACTCAGGGCCTTGTGCATACTAGGCAATCATAATACTACTAAGCTGCATTCCCAGTTGCCACCATTTCTTTGAAAACATCATTTAAATTTCAGATGAATATAAGAGAAGACTATTAATCTTCCACAGAATATTTTTCATCATTATGTCACCTTTGAAAACCGAAAATTAAATTATTTCCTTTGTATGTATCAATTTACTAAAAAGATTACTGAAATCCCATGCAACTAAAATGAAATGTTCATTTGTTATCATATTATTTAAGAGTTAAAAATACCTGACATATGGGCTGGGGTTGTGGCTCAGTGGTGGAGTGCTTGCCTAGCATTTGTGAGGCACTGGGTTTGATTCTCAGCACCAAATAAATAAATTAAATAAAGGTCCATTGACAACTAAAAATATATTTTAAAAAATACCTGACATATAACAGAAAAACAAAATATCTAAGGCACTTAGAGTAACAGAGAAATATCAATAAATCAAGCTTTTTACTTTATGTAAGCATATAGAAATTTACAAAGAAACACAAAATTACTTTAAATTCATCTTCTAAAAATTGCTGTTAACATTAGGCCATGCTAGCTATGAAAATCACTCTTCTTGTCTTCCTATATACTGCCCCTAAAACCAGAATTAACTGTTGTATCCAAGTATCTTAAAAATATATTTCCTATAATAATTAATACAAAATTAATAGACACAACAAAAAATACTTTGGGAAACATAAGAATGGTCACTATAAATCTAGAGGATTAAAGGCAAACATAAAAGCACAAAGAATGGGCAGGGCACAGTGGCACACACCTGTAATCCCAGTGACTCAGGAGACTGAGATAGGAGAATCACAAATTCAAGGCCAGCCCCAAGAAATTAGTGAGACCCTGTTCCAAAATTAAAAATACAAAAGGCTGGGGATGTAGCTCTGTAATAGAGTACTTCTGAGTGGGTTCAATTTCCAGTAACATAAAACAAAACAAACAAATAAAAAAATGGGATTTAGCATTTGTCTGCAGGAAGATGTTCTATATGACAGTAAGCATACTGTCTTAGATAAGCATTATTTGACTTAGGGCAGATTATAATGAATTCTGAACAATCAGCTTTTATTGTCCAAAGTCCCAGTTTGGAATGGTAATAATGTTACTTCAATGAGGAGGTGAAATAACTCTCAATATTTCAATTTAGACATGTTGCATTGATTCCACTGAAATTACAGATTTTTAATGTATAGTAACTGGAACAAGATGGCATATTTAATATATGTTCTGGCTTCCCGTATCAATCCAAATACCTAGATAAAACAGGAAAAATAGATATAGACACAAACATATATGACTGAAGGAAGAAAAAACAGATCATGTCATATGTAGGAACTGTTTCAAAATGCTGCAAACTCCAGTGACATATGAGAGCCGCAAGAATGAGCTGTGGTTCACCAAAAGGATGAGTGCTTGGCTAAAATGCTTATAAAACTCTACAAAATCTATCATCTATTTGTCTCATCAAAATTATCTCTCAATATCCTTCTACTTAAGTGGCCTTCTTTTGCTTGAACAAATATCTATCTGTTAATGTCATTACTATGTACAAGTATTTCCCTGGCCACTCTGTGTAGAGTAATCCTCTAAGCTATCACCACCCTTTTTAATAAAAATTTTATTTGTCTAGGGGCTGTTTCCCCCACTAGAATGTGAACTCCACAAAAATAGAGGGTTTTTTTTTTTTTTGTTTTGTTTTGTTTTTTTAAAGAGAGAGAGAATTTTTTATAATATTTATTTTTTAGTTATTGGCGTACACAACATCCTTGCTTGTATGTGGTGCTGAGGATCCAACCCGGGCCGCACGCATGCCAGGCGAGTGCGCTACCGCTTGAGCCACATCCCCAGCCCAAAAAATAGAGGTTTTTATTTATTCGCTGCTCAAAAGATACTCACTGTATTGAAGAGTGCATTTGTTGGGATACCAAAGAGGAACAGACACTCAGCTCTGCCCCTTCCCTTCCCATCTCGACAACAAACAAAAGACAGCAGAACATCTACCCTTCAAATAAGAGTAGAAAATGGAAATGGTACATGGCCAAGAGAAAGGTCAAAAGGAGAAAATATTTTGGAGGAGGGTAAACTCTCCTGCCTTCAGAGAGTAGCTACTGGGCTATCCTCCAGGTAGCATTAGAGTCAAGTGATAATATCCAATGCCAGAAAGGACATCCCATGTTTTTCCTCCAATTATTGGAGGAAGGCTAGCATTTGGTGATTATGCATAGCGTTTATAGACAGATGAATAAGGAATCTTGCGAGAGAAAAAGAAAAAAATGCACACATACTAAGAATCACCACTATGAAAATCCAACACTATAAGAAACACTAAATTGAAATAGAGGAAAACCCAAGGAAATGGCATTAATAACATTGGGTAAAACCTTCATACTGTCAGAGAGATGTGTGAATATACAGTCATGAACTATACAACATTTAGGTCAAGAATGGATAACATATATGACAGTGGTCCTGTATAATAGAGATACTCTGGAAGCTGACGCAGGAGGACTATGAGTTCAAGGCCAGCCAGAGAAAGTTAGTGAGACCCTGTCTCAAAACAAACGAAAAAAAATTCATGTTGAAATTTCATTCCCATTGTGTCAAATGTGGAGGTAGAAAAATGTAGGGCTTTTAACATGTGATTGGATCATGAGGGGTCCACCCTCTTAGATGGATTAGTCTATTCATAGATTAATGGATTTGAGAATTGATGGGTTATGTGAAAGATGCTTCATTATAAAAGCAAGTTCTCTCTGGCTTGCTCTGCCTCATCATGTGATGCTATCTGCCATATCATGATTCAGCAGAAAGTTTCTGACCAAATGCTAAGCATTATATAGACATCTGTATTTCCACTTCTGTGAGACATATGTCTAAATGATTTGACTATTCTTTTACTGAGTGGTCTGATCTTTTCTTTCTGATTTATAAACATGATTTATATATTCAACTATTAATCTTTAGTACATTTTCTAAGGAAAAAAACAAAACTTGGCTGAGTGCAGTGGTGCATCCCTGTAATCTCAGCAGCTCTGGAGACTGAGGCAGGAGGATTAAGAGTTCAGACTCAGCAATCGTGAGGTGATAAGCAACTTGTGAGACCCTGTCTCCAAATAAAAATACAAAATAGGGCTGGGGATGGTACTCAATAGTTGAGTGCCCTTGAGTTCAATCCCCAGTACCCACCTCCCCCCCCCCAATTTTTTTTTAATTTTGGGAAAAAAATATGTGCAAAAATAGACTGCTGTGGAAAAGAAGCCAAGAATAAGAGTGATTTCAAAACTCAGATTCATGATTCAAAACTCAGATTTCATTCATGTCAAATGAAAAATTAACTGGAAAAGGCTAAGTAGCAGGATAGTAACCTGACATACTTTTGAAAATTGAAGTTTTGCCTGAGAACATAAATTAAAAATGAGAACACACTGTTAAGAGATATGGAGGATATATCCAGGAGACTGGATATCTATAACACTTCTAAATTGAAGCCAGAAAGACAATGGAAGGAAAAATAAGACAATAATAAAGTTTATTAGAAATAAAAAAGACACTAATCTTCAAAATCAAAAGGCCATCAAAGTTATGCTCACAATGAATAGAAAAAAACAGTTTCATATCCTGTGTTTTATAAGTCACTAACCACATGTAGCTGTTCAAATTTAATTTAAATTAAATTAAAACTTTAAGCCCTAAATTACACTAGTCACATTTTATGTGGTTTAGTGATTATCATATTGGACTGCATAGATATAGAACATTTCCATATTGTGGAAAGTGGTCTAGAATAAAAACAAGCCACCTACAGATGAATGATAATTAAATTAACATCACTCTCATCAGCAACACAGGAGGCTAAAATACAGTAAAACAATGTCTTCTAAGTTCTGAGAAGAAAAGATTTTGATCCTACCGTTCACTCTTAATCAAGTGTGAAGCAAAATTAAGATATGTTAGGACATGCAAAAACAACAGCAAAGACAAATTAGATAACCATGTAACATATCTGAAAACATTACTCACAGAAGTATTTCAGGGGACAAAAGAATAATTTGAGGACAACAGAAACAGTGACAACTAAATATGATTCAGATATAGCAATGGACACTGAAACAAATAAAATAATCCTTTTGACCTTGATGCTTGAAATAATCTCCTCTGAGCAACAAAATTTAAATGGTAGAGAAAAACATTTCATTTCTTATGGTTCTAGTCATTTGTTGTTATTGTATCACACACATGATCATAATATAAATGCATATTTATTGATTTTCAGTTTTTTGGTACTGGGGTTGAATCCAGGGGTGCACTACCACTGAGCTACATCCCTATTCCTTTTTATTTTTATCTGATATATAGTCTCACTAAGTTGATTGGGATGACCTCGAACTTGCAATCCTCCTCAGCTTTAGCCTCCTGAGGAGCTAGGATTACAGTCATGTATCATGGCAACTGGCTTTGGTTTTTATTCATAGAGTCAAACCCTTACTCTCTGTAGCAGCAAGTAGATGGGTATTATCTAAAATTACCAAATCAAGAAATATATACCATACACACACACACACACACACACACACACAAAATTACAAGTTACTAATGGTGTTGACCACAGAATTAGAATTGGGAACATCAAAGGGTTCAGGGAATAAGAGGTAGCAATACAACAGTTAACTATTTATTTGAATGTAGTGATGTTGATCAAACACAGGGTTTCATATACACTAAGCAAGAACGCTACATCCCCAGCCAACAGTTACTTTAAATCTTTAATCTTTATGAATGACTTTTGTGTTTACTTGTTACCTTTTAAATTTAAAATTACTAGTTTATCAATAAAACTAATTATATCTATTCAATAATTTATTATGCAGTTATTTTTAATAGTTAAAAAGGTAGAACTATATGTAATGACACTGATACATGTCCATAATTAAAGATAATGCAGAGCAACATATGTGAAGTATTTGTACATACATATTTAAAATAAGTTGCAGAGCATGATACATTTCTGAAGAAAATATTATGATATATATGTAAACATATTTGTGTAAGCTTAAGAAAAGTCAATAAGGATAAGCACCAAATTACTAGTGGTTATCTCTGTGATTTGAAGGGCTAGGAAAGGGAAACTAGGGCTGGGGGTATGGCTCAATGGTAGAGTGCTTGCCTTAGGTACAATCACAAATAACACAAAATAATATAAAATTGAAATAAGGAAAGAAAAAAAGGAAAATTAGTGTTCCTACATTACATAGGTGAGTACCCCTAATTTGTAAATCTAAAATTCAAATTGCTCAAAAAAAAGTCTTAAACTTTCTGAGCCCCAGCATGATATCACAAGTAGAAAATTTCACATATGATTTTATATAATGTGGCTCAATCCATATTTTTTTACACTACATACTGGAAAAAATTGTCTGTGGGCTCTGTGTATATGGTATACATGAAACATAAATGAATTCTGTGTTTAGATTTGGGTCTCACCCACAAGGTATCTCATTAAGCAAATATTCTAAAATCTAAAAAACTCCAAAATCTGAAACACTTTTTTAAACCAAGGCCTTTTGGATACAGGATACTCAACCTGTATGTATGTGTTTATATATACTTTAAGTATAGGCCTGGCACGGTGGTACAAACCTATAATCTCAGTAAGTTAGGAGGCTGAAGGAGGAGGCTCACAAGTTCAAGACCAGCCTCAGCAACTCAGGGAGACCCTGTCCCAAAGTGAAAACAAATAAAAATAGCTGAGGATGTAGCTCAGTGGTAGAACACCCCTGGGTTTAGTCTCTAGTACCAAAAAAAAGTCATGGGACTATGGATGACTTTTACTTTTTTTCAAATAAATTAAACCTATCAAATCACATTTAAATTAAACTATGAAGTAGAAATCAAAAAGTAAGTTCTTTCTATTAGAATCTTCTATAAATCAGGGTTTTTTTTTCCCCCCTATCATTAAAACAAATATAGACACTGCTTGCAAGTTCCTAGTTACTTCACTAGAGGGCTCTCTTACCCATAGTCTACCAGGTCTACTGAGAATTTCTGAGCACCTGTAGCATAGGTCATGGCATCCTTAAATACCTGTGTCCTTAAAATCTCATTTCAAAACACAGAATTTTAGAAGAGAAGGCATTTCTTTAAAATCATAAGGAAACAAAAAGACTGATACTTACATGTAAACACAATTCGCTGGGTACAGAAGTTATCACATTCAGGTCCCTTTTGAACACTGATATGTTATTAGGCTGACTTGCAGCCACACTGGACAGAATCTTAGAGCCCATATGTTGGAAATTAGGGGATTGTGCAGGGCTATCTTGAATTCCACAGTGACTGATGGCTATGACTTCTGGCATTGGACAGGAGAGTGTATCTTCAGCAGAGGAAGAAAAAGGAGAGTCTATGCTTTGGGTGTCCTTCTGGCTCTCAGGATAGATGCTAGAGATGCTGTGTTCCTGATAGAGCAAGTTTCTTAATTTTTCATCCAGAGTTTTAATTCGGTTGTCTGCAAACTCCATTTTTGGAGGTCTTTCCCCATCTGATTCTAGGACAGTAGTGGGTAAAAGGGTACTTGATTCAAGGCCAGGAGTCTGAGTGGAAATGACTGCTTTTGGAGAATTTGCTTCAGTGTTCACTATGTTTTCTCCTTCTTGGGAAATAAACTCTGCATCCATAGTTGGCTGCTGTCCTGGTAAGAACTGAGGTTTTTGATCAGATACAAATGTTGAGGCTGTAACAGCATTACCAGCAATCTGAGTTGATTTGCCACCATGAGCTACATGCACATCAGCCTGACTGGCAGGTGGGTGACATGAATATACAGGTATGAACATGCCTGTTTGGCCAGTGAGTCCCTCACATTCAATTGGAACTGAAGTAGTGGAATAAGTGGAACCACTGGTAACTGGTGTCATTATCTGCCTATTATCTTCCACTTGAAAAAGTATAGCTGGCTGTTCACTTTTTACACCAGCACATTCAGAAATCTTACCATCAAGTACATCCTTGTTTTCTGATTTGGAGGTAAAAAGTGCATGTTGGCATGGATTATTTTCTATACTGAGCAGTGTGTCCTGTGATATTTCCTTATTATTTTTACTTCGTGAACCTGGAACAATAACAAAGTAACAGTTAATTACATGCTGATGAATGCAAAGCATAGACTAATACAGAAGTTCAAAAGTGACAGGAAAAGCAAGGGACAAATGAAAAATGATATGAGAGAGAATATGCTTATAAACAAGACTCAAAATATCAAACAATCCAAGTTGGAATGAAAAAAAAAAACAACTTTGCTTTTTTATAAATATTAAATAAAAATATTTTAAGTTATACACTGTCTTCAAATATGCTTATGAAAATTGTTGTAAAATATTCAAGAAATAAGTTAAAATATGGTGTATGTTTTACATTCATATCCTCCAAATCTGGAAAAACCTGGCAGTGAATGAGAGCTTACTAGGAAATGGATGTAGCCCAGTGACTGCAGCCATTGAAGGCTGAAGAGAAGGAGGAGACTGAGCTTCTCGGTTTCTTATTGTCTGATTGATACAGAATCGCCACCGACCAACTGGAGATGACTGAGGAGCAGACTCACCTGTAGAAATAATTAGCAAGAAATCAATGTGCCAAGCAAATGTCAGTTCATTTATTTTATTGACTTAATAAAACTAATTTCAAAAACGAATCTGTCTTGGGGCTGGGGTTATGGTTCAGCGGTAGAGTGCTCACGCGTGAGGCACTGGGTTTGATCCTCGGTACCACATAAAAATAAATAAACAAAACAAACAAATGAATACATAAATAAAGGTATTGTGTCCAACTACAACTAAAATAAAATATATTTTTTAAAAAAATTATCTGTCTTATACCTATATTCCCAATAGTATTAGGATAAGTATAATAGTAGTGCTTATCAGAGCTGTATAAGTGTGTCATTAGTGGAATAAAATCAAGATAAAATATGACTATTAAAACATGAGGCAAACTTAGAATACAATGATTTTATTTTATTATTATTTTTTTAATATTTATTTTTTAGTTATCGGCGGACACAACAAAATACAATGATTTTACTTAAGAAACTTTCTGTCCATCTTATATCTGAAAAATCAATTGACCAGTTTTGTTTCAAACAGGCCATTAAAAGTCATCATACTGTGACTGCTTTTCTGGTAACATACCATGTGACAACTCAGAAATAAATTAATCAGATAAAGAACCAACACTTGGAGGAAATTTGGTGAATGAATTTTTATCTCTGAGATACAAGGTCCTTTCAAAGTGTTAGAAAATAACAATTTATCAAATTACTTTATTGGCTAACATTTTTCTCCAAGAAGGGATATAATTTAAAGTTCCCAAATGTCTTATTTCAAAATCCAAATGGTAAATGTAATTAAATATACTTACTGCTGGTTTGGGTAGAAGCAGAATTTATCTGGACTTGTTCAGATGATCCTGTCTGAATTAAAAATGAATAGATAAATAAAGAAGTTCCTGACACGTATTCAAAGAGACCCATTTGCTAAACAGTCGTTCTTACTTGGTTACTGTTAGATTCCAAGGTAACAGAGTCAAGTCCAATGACTTTTTCTGCAGCAGAATGGACATGAAGGATCTCCTGGGCTTGACCTACGATAGCCCTCAATTCTTCTACAAATTTTTCCTTCTCATTTTCCAGCACAAAGTTATCTTCAACCTGCCCCACAACAAAAGTCATTCTATTCATGAGAATGAATTTAGTTTCTTCAAAATTATAATACTGTATTAATGGTGGTTACCATAAAGAAAAACATAAATATGGAGTATCTAAATCCAAGTGTCAAAACAGAATAAAGACCAGCAATAAAACACCACATAATACATTCAATTATTCTTTTTATTTAACTTTTATTTAGTTGTCAGTAGACCTTTATTTATTTAATTATTTATTTATTTTTTATGTGGTGCTGAGGATTGAACCCAATGTTTACAACAAAGATGTCCAAAGTAAAAGGTTTTCAATCACAAATTATAAAATTCATCGTTGTTGGAGATGTTTCATAACAGCCCAAAGACCTTTAGTTGGGCTAAGTTTACAATGGAATTAAGAAAGTATAGTCATCTCAAAAAATACTCTGCTAAGTAAGAGGCATAACTAACAAAATTAACTTTTAAAATGTTTATTTTGCCCGGGTGCAGTGGTGCATGCCTGTAATCCCAGTAGCTCAGGAGGCTGAGGCAGGAGGATTGTGAGTTCAAAGCCAGCCTCAGCAATGGCAAGGCATTAAGCAACTCAGTGAGATCCTGTCTCTAAATAAAACATTTTTAAAAAGGGCTGGGGATGTGACTCAGGGGTTAAGTACCCCGGGTTCAATCTCTGGTAACACCCCCCCCCCCCAAATTTATTTCCACTTCACCAGAAAAGCAGAAACAAATGCATTATGCACTCTCCTACCACCCAGATCCCATACCTATCCAATAAAGGGGAAAAATACTAACTTAAGCCTACTAATTCAAAGAAAATATTAAAAAACTAAATGAAATGAAGAAAATAACTTGAACATTTACATGGAAGATGTTAGACCAGTAGTTTGCACATTAGAAATTACCTTGGTAACTTGACAAACTATTGGTGTTTAGGCCTCAACTTCAAAGATTCTGATTTAATCAGTAACCCACACAATGGAATTATTTTTATAAAGTTTATTAGATTATCTCAACATACAGGCAAAGGGAAAAAATATTGATCCACAATAAAACTCTTTCATATTTTTCAAATGAATATGCTGAAACTAAATAAGATGCAGCAGCTTATCCCTGATCAGAACCTCTGTATAAATTTTAAAACTAACCATGCCCTTTAAAGAGAGATGGCTCCAAATAAATATAGAGAAAATAAGAGACAGTTAATGTTGAAGGGAAAATAATTTGTATTTACGATACTTACCATATAGTCTGCAATATCTTCTGGTGCATCACCATCAACATCAAACTTGAAGGTGACCATCTTATTGTTGTGTGTTTCCAGCTGGCACTCTACCATATTGTCTCCAGAGGTTGACACCTATGAATACATATTTCACCAGTTTAAGATTCACTGTCTTCACTTTGTAAATTGTACACAGACTATCTAGGATGAGTTCACATATAATAAATGCTGAAAATGACTTATACATTACCACTCTAAAAACATTCTGTTTTCCCTTTGTGAAATACTACATAAAGAGCCATCCTATGACAAATATAACAGGTACAAATTACTCAGTAAAATCTTAAATGAGAGTGGGATGCAGTGGTTCACCTCCATAATCCCAGCTACTTGAGAGGCTAAGTTAGCAAGAATGCAAGTTTGAGGTCAGCCTGAGCAAGTTAGCAAGATATTTGAGACAATAGTCTCAAAAAAAATTTTTTAATTGAAAGGGCTAGGATGTAGCTAGGTGGTAGAGCATTTACCTAGTATGTGCAAGGCCCTGGGTTCAATCCCCACAGTTACAATAAATAAATAAATAGAAATGTGATCAAGTAGGAAAGAAAATGGAACAAAACTTTTCAAAAAAGCAAAAAAAAAAAAGGTTATAATAGTCACTATAGCTATATGCAATGCAATATCTAAATTCAGTCACTCATTTCCAAAATTCTCTTAATGTAGCAACATGTATTTAGAAATTTTAGAAATGTTTTTATGTGCATATGCTAGAAATTGAACCCAGGGCCTTGCATATGCTAAGCACATGCTCTATCACTGAGCAACACCCTCAAGCCTCAAATTTTCACTTTTTAAACCACTAATCTATTTCTAGGGATCTATTTATTCTAAGAAAATAATCGGGGTCAGATACAAAGATTTATGTTCTAAGATATTTGCTGCAGAGAATGAAGACAAAGTTAGGGAAAAAGACTAGCAAAAAGAGAACAAATTTTAAAAGTACGACAACGAAAGGAATGCTAAAATTATATTTGCATACAAGGGCCTATCTAATGTAGCCATTTAAAATGTTATTGAAAACTTACTTAGTGATATAGGAAAATATACATGATAAGTTAAGTTTTGAAAAAGACAAAATAGTTTGAGGATATAGCTCATTGGTAGGTTATTGCCAAGCATGCATGAGGCCCCAGGCTTGATCCCCAGTGCTGCCAAAAAAGAGAGGGGATATAAATTTATATGTAGGCTTCAGCAACCAACTGAAATATATATTGTACTGGTTACAGATACAGACTTTGAAGTCTAATCTGGGTTAAGATCTGACTTTATCACTTGCTAGTTGTATGACCTTAAGCAAATTATCTCTCTTGACATTCTCATTTCTTAAGAGTATATTATCACCTATTATATAGTGTTTGCATTACATGAAAAATTTATGCATAAACTGGGCACAGTGACACAAGCCTATAATCCCAGTGACACAGGAAACTGACACAGGAAGACTGCAAGTTCGAGACCAGCCTCGGCAATTTAGTGAGGCCCTAAGCAACTTAGTGAGATGCTGTCTCAAAATTATAATAAAATAAAATAAAGGTCTGGGGATGTGGCTATGTGGTAAAGTGCCTCTTGGTTCAATCCTCAGTACACACACACAAAATTAATACGTAAAATTTAGGGTGTCTATCACAAAAGAATTCAATAGTTTTGCTATAATTACTAGTACTATCATGATCTTAATGTAAAATGCTAAATGTACATGTAGAATAAAGAAATGAAAACAAATAAAAAAATGGTAGAAGCTAGCTCTCAGTGGTAGTTATAAGTGATTTATTTTCTGCCTTTTATTCTCCTTTATTCCCCTTTAAAAATTAACACAAAACATTCCTATCAGAAAATTTTTAATGGAGGAAAAGTCAGCTTACAGAGGGTTTCATAATATTCTACAGTTATCACAGTATCATCCCCCCCCGACTCTCGAAGACCTCTACATGCACTACAACCAAACCATATCCACACACTGACCTGAAGGACAGTAAGTTGAAATTTAGTCCCCTTCTCTGGTCGGGGACAGGAAGCTCTTCTCTGTTTGATCCGATCCTGTTTGCCATTTCCACCTGGGTTATCAGAGTTATTGGTGTTTTCCTTCACAGCTGCCACATCTTGATTCAAGCTAGTAAAAAAAAAAACAGTAACTCATTCCAATCCTGATAATAAAAATCTAACAAAAAAGCTTTTGATTATTTAATTGTAAACAATGTTTAAGGAAAATCAATAAATAATATCTTTTCAAAAGTTATAATTGCTGAATTCTGTGAATATACGAAAAGTTACTGAATCATACACTTTAAAGATAAATTGAATTGTATGCAAATTATATATAAATAAAGCTATCTTTTAAAGTTATGAAAAATGTGATTATATCATATATATTTGGCAAAAATGAAATGAAAGAAAACATTGCCAGTTATAGACCTTTGTGAAACCTTTTAAAAGAGAATGCTCTTGATAAATTTTATCTTGTTTGTTTTGGGGTTACTTCATTAACATGTTCAAATAAAACTTCTAAACTGAAAAATCTCACTCAAAATAAGGGAGAGACCTCAATAAGGATAGACAGACCGAATGTGAGAGACAAAAATAATGCAAGAGGCAGAAAAATAAATGAAAAGGAATCATATAACATGGTGGAACACCTGGAGATGTAGCTCAGAAATAGAGCACGTGCCTAGTATACAGAGGCACTGTGTTCCATCCCCTGAAAAAAACTTCTTCAAGCTAGACATGGTGGCTCATGTCTATAATCCCAAGTACTCAGGAGAATGAGGCAGAAGAATTGTAAACTTGAGGTCAGTCTGGGCAATGTAGTGAGATACTATCTCAAAATAAAACATAGAAAGGGCTAGGGCTAGGGATGTAGCTTAGTGGTAAAGTGCCCCTGTGTTCAATATCAAGTACAATCAATCAATCAATCAATCAATAAATAAAATGGTTCAAAATTATTAACATTTTATATTCTTGGGTAGCTTTTTTTTTTTTTGACAGACTGCCTCAGTCTCCTGGATTACTGGGAATAGAGGCATGTGCCACTGCACCCAGATCAATATAACTAATTCTAACTGATTATATTTTATAGGTTCAAATCAGTATGATTATGAAAGGGCAGGTTAATCTGTGTGAAATTTTTCAGATTTTTCTTTAATAAAAGTGAAGATATTTGAATATTTGAATAAATATCTTCCAATATATCTGAAATTCAAATAAAAAGAACAATAAGTATCAGACAACCTTTTTCAGATATTAATTAATTTTTAGATTAAGTCCTTTTGCTAAAAACTATTCATAAAATATTTCTATAGAGATGCACAAAAATGATAAAAATAATTCCTAATTCTTCTATGTCTGTATGAAAAAGAAGACATACTAATACTGTTCCTAAGTTCTTTCAGCATAGCTGAATGGTAGAGAACTTGCCTCACATGCCTGAGTCCCTGGGTTTAATCCCAGCACCACAAAGAAAACATTTTAATTAAAAATAATAATAATGCCCCTAGAGTTCTAAAACATACAGAGAATTGGCAGTAATAAATAACACCTTCATAGGGTAATAGAGACATTAATTATAGCCAATGGGGCTATATCATTCATATTCCAAAGTAACCTTAAAAAACACTAGCTTAGGGTTTGGGACAACGTAGCAAAAACTCAACTCTGCTTGCTTGTCCCCACTAAGAAGAGCTAAAAAATAAAATCTGGAAATAATGCAGTAAAAAATCAGGATAGCACTAAAGAATGAAAAGATAAAAGATTGATTAGGAACTCTGAGGACTTGAAAAATAAAGCAACTAACCATCTCCTAATACTAACACAATGGCAGAAGACAGGTCAGGCATAAAGACAGCCCAGACCTAGTGTCTCCTGATACTTAACCCTTCAACAAAAGATGGCTTACGTAGGCCCTTTGCTTCCCCAGTGGCAGTGGCAGGAGCTCCAGCAGTAAAATGTGATCTGTATGGTGGACCTAGAGAAGTTCAAATCTCCACGCTGCAGCTCCACCATGGACACCAAGGTGCCAGGTGAATGAAGCAGACCAGAATAGCAAAGCATGAACTCTTAAAACTACATCGTCACTAGAATCACAGCCCCTACAAGTAGGCCAGGACCAATGTACCTAAACAGGCAGAATGACAGCTAAATAGAGGATTTAAATGTAGAATCCAAAGTATCCTTACATAATACCCAAAATGTCCTGGAGACAAAAATAAAATCCCTGTCATACCAAAAACCAGGAAAATTACAACTTAAATCTTTTTGCATCAACAAGTGGAAAATCAACAATCAGCAAGTGTCAACATCGAGATGAATCAGAAAAAGATTTTATCTGAAAAGATTTTAAAAGCATTTATCAAAATGAAGGTTAGGAGTGTGGTTCAGTTGGAGAGTTTTTCCCTAGCATGTGCAAGGCCCTGGGTTCAATCCCCAGCATCACCAAAAAACAAACAAACAACAACAAAAAAAAAACAAACGAGCTTGTCAAAGGAGTAGAAGATGTTAAAAACAGAAACAAATGAAATTATAGAACTAAACATAAAATCACAGAAATAAAAACTTAATGAAAGAACAATGGGCACAATAACGAAATATATAGGAAAGAAACAATGAATGTAAAAAAAGAACAATAGAAAGTATCCAATCTGAACAAATACAGAAAAATGCAAATTTATGACTACTAATATAACTATATGATATTTTACTATAAATTACATTATTATTTCCTTTTAAACTCTTTTATGCTTTTCTTAGAACACTGTAACTAAAGAAAATAAGGTAATGGTCAATATTATTGATGTTAAAAAAATAAAAAATAGGGCTGGGGTTGTGGCTCAGTGGTAGAGTGCTTGCCTAGCATGTGTGAGGCACTGGATTTGATCTCCAGCATCACATAAAATAAATAAATAAATAAAGGTATTGTGTCCATCTACAACTAAAAAATATTTTTTTAAAAAGTAAAAATAATGGGGCTGGAGTCGTGGCTCATGAATAGAATGCTCGCCTCGCATGTGTAAGACCCTGGGTTCGATCCTCAGCACCACATAAAAATAAATAAGCAAAATAAAAATTTTTAAAAAATTTTAAAAAAGTAAAAATAATGCCAAATATGTTTATTAAACCTACACATAAATATAAGAAAACAGAAGCTTCCCTAGTTACTGCACATACTTCTGCTCACCCTCATTGTTTCTAAGGTATGAATCTGATGATACTTACCTTCTAACTAAATCTGGTTTTTGAAGAGCTGCTTGTTGTTCAACTCCAACTGGTTGGGGTATGGTCTGTAAGTAATAAAAATAAAGATTGTTACAACAGCAAAATTCAAGCTAAGGAGGCAATTTGTTGTTATTTCAGAAATTTTGATTGTTACATTTCCTATTCTGGTTACCTTGCAAACCAGGTAGAATGTCTTTGTTATTGAAAGTCTATATCAATCCTGTTATTGACATTTTTACTAAAGATAAAGAAAAATAAATGTAGAAATAAATCAAGTACATCTTATTCATCAATATTTTTGTTAAAAATTAGCATTTTTTATGTACTTTTGTTATTTTTTAACAAAGAACACTACTATTGAACTTGTAGTCCTGGTTGTAAAACTACTACTTAAAAGAATTGTTGCCATTCCACAAGAAGATGAATCAATGACTCAAACTTCCTCTTAGAAAGAAAAATACCAATCCTGCTGGAAAATAATTTTAAATATTTACCTAATCAATACTCTACATACTCCTCACTGGTGAGAACAGAGAGAAATCTTAGAATGTAAATTTAATAAAAACAATAATTTCCCTACTCGGTTAACCACTCTGTGATGGCATCTCATCTTCCAAAAGATTAGGTTTTTCAGATGATGAAAGTCCACAATGAACTGGTCCATGTCTGATTCTCTAGCTTCATCTCTGCTTGAAGCCACACTAAGCTGGAGTTCTCTGCATCAGTTGGATCCTTCCATATATGCTATAACTCTACTTATGTTTCTCTACCTCCCCAGGCTATTTCAAGCTCTCCACTATCTTGTCCATTTAGCCAAGATGTGGACAGAACTTCTACATATAAGAAACCTGTATGAGATTTCAGAAATAGACCAGCAAAATTTTCTTGGAGAATTAAAAAAAAACATATATCTTAGCTCATATTCTGATTTCTAAACTAGAAAGGAAGAAGGTTCCATGTAGAAATAGATGATTTTCCATCAATGGGACAAGAAAGTACTAGAAGAGCTTTACTCTGCCAAAAAGTAAAACAATACTTAAAAGAATGATGAGGACATATCAAAAACAGAGAGGACCAAATTGAAGGAGCTCCTACTGTCAAAATCTGGGACAATTTGGGCATCAAAATAATAATAGTAAAAGAATATAACCCATTTAATAAAATAAGAATCCATGACTTCTTACTCATAAGAACAAATGAACAAATAGAAAAGGAAAAGCTCTTATTTACAGTAAAAGACAACTAATAAATAAAGAGGGATGATAGAGTTAGAAAATCATAAATGGATGACAAATCCAGTAGGTGAAGGTTGAATAAAGAACAGGATATTTACTAGTTTCAAAGCAATCCTACAGATTGCTTTTTAAGTACAAAGGCAAAAAAAAAGGTAAATTTACACTGGAAGAATTTGGAAGGCCTAACCTTAACAAAGTAATCAAACTTAACTTCCCCAACAATGGAACAAAGCAACATCACATGCCTTCTACTACTATGTGCAAATAAAAACACATTTAATGTACATGATTTTCCTGAAAAAAATGTATAATCTGAATCTAAAGAAAAGGAAACTTCACATTGATTCAAATTGAAGGGCATTCTGTAACATAACTGGCCTTCATTCTTCAAAAATATCAATGTTTTGAAAAATAACGACTAAATAAATATTCATCAAGCAGGGTGAAGTTGCCATAAAGGACATCATAATAATTAATGAAAATGTTGAGGTGGATAATAGATAATAATATTATATTATTATCTGTTAATGTTAACATTCTCTAGATTGGTCACTATATTGTAGTTATTTAAGAAAATGTCTATATTTGCGTATGTGTCTGTATGCATACACACACATGTGATGGCACTGGGGATTGAATCTATGGCCTCACTCACGCTAGACAAGTGATCTACTATTGAACTATACTCCCAGCCAATGTCCTTGTTCTTGTACTGAAATATTCAGAGGTAAAATGGCATCATGTTTGCAACTAGCTCTCTCATATGATTCATGGGGAAAAGCATAGGTAGATGGGTGGATTATTGGACAAGGGAGTGGACAGACAGACCCGTAATCTAATAGTGCCTTTTATCATAGCCCTCTTTATCATGCATGTTTAACATCAAACTCCAAGGACTCACTGATTCATTTTGCCTTCTTGGTGCCTCTTAGCACAGTACCTGGCACATTTTAGGGTTCCAATAAATATCTGAAGTTAGAAAGAAATAGGGAAGGAAAGTTTGACATGGAGATAAAGGCTGTGCCACAAAAATGTTTGTGAACTGATATTAGGATTCCTGAAAATCAATCATTAAAAAATAACACAAAGGAAAGAAAACAACAAGGTATAAAGCTTGTTTCACAGTAAATGTTCAATAAAATGTTAGCTATACCTGTATTTTATTATAGTATTATATGTAATACAAACTAGCAGCAAGTTAGTTGTCTAGGAATAGGGGAAGGATTAGGTAAATAGGAGTGTTTATCATACTACCACATGGCTATTAAAAAGTGAAATCATGAAATCATGCCAGGTGCCATCATGTCTGCCTGTAATCTCAGCAACTCAGGAAGCTGAGGCAGGAAGATTAAAAGTTCAAGGTCAGCCTCAGCAACTTAGCAAGACCTGTCAAAATTAAAAAAAAAAAAAACAAGGGCTGGGGATATAGCAGTGGTAAAGTACCCATGGTTCAATCCCTAGTACCTCAAAAAAAAAAAAAAAAAAAAAAAGCTAGGGGGAAAGGAATCATGAAGGCCAAGTAAAGGCAGGGGAAAATACACAACAATGAATGAAAAACAAAGCAGAAAATAAAACTGATGGAAAATTAAAACCACTTATGAAAAAGTCTAGAGTATTTTCACAAATTTTACAATCATAGCCATGTTATAGAAACAGCATTTTAGGCAACCCTCCATTTCCCCAATTTTTATGTTACTATATACATTTTATACTTTAGAATTTTTATGAATACTGGGTGCCTGCCTTTACATTCCATCTTTGTGTTAGCACCACAGTGGCCATGGACTTTACATGCCTGAGACTTCTGGGCAAAATTTTGGGCAACAACTTTATCAGAAACTGAGATACTCACTTAAATTGCCCAGAATAGAGACTTTTTTTAAAAAAAAATGAGAATTCTTAAGGATAGCAAGTACATAAACCACTGATGGGATGACAATAAAGGAAGTCTTAAAAATTTCTCACACTTCTAATTTGAAAAATTTATCCTAAAGAAACAATTAATAATATATACAATATCGTGTACAACCACAAGAATGGGGTCCTAATTACAATAAATTATTTCATGTATGCATAATATGCCAAAATGCACTCTATTATCATGTATATCTAAAAAGAACAAATAAAACAAATTTTTAAAAAGACATAGCTATAAAAATATATCACAACATGGAATATAGTTATAAACAGCAAAATATTGATATTTATCTCCTTTACTTACTCCACTAAATAAATAATGGTATAGCCATCCTCAGGGATGTTATGTAGCTCTTTGGAAAGGGAAAAATAATACAAGGGGGAGAAATGAATGACAGTAGAGGGGGTAGAGAGAGAAGAGGGGAGGGGAGGGGAGGGGAGGGGAGGGGAGGGGGGATAGTAGAGGATAGGAAAGGCAGCAGAATACAACAGACACTAGTATGGCAACACGTAAATCAATGGATGTGTAACTGATATGATTCTGCAATCTGTATACGGGGTAAAAATGGGAGTTCATAACCCACTTGAATCAAAGTGTGAAATATGATATATCAAGAACTATGTAATGTTTTGAACAACCAACAATAAAAAATTAAAATATATATATTTAAACATACTTCTTTTTTTGCTGTGCTGGGAATTAAACCCAGGGCCTCACACATGCTAGGTAAGTGCTCTATCACTGAACTAGACCCCCAGCCCTGTAAGATAATGTTTTATGTGAAAAATACCATAAAAGAGTAAATATGTTATGATTACCTTAAAAATACATCTGTGTAGGTGTATACTAAATGGTCTGGAGGAGTATATCCCAAGACATTAAATAAGTTTTTCTATATTAATCCTGAATTGGTAATAAGAAAAATAAATTCAACTTTGTATAAAGAGACTTATCAACCCTCAGGTCCCCATTATTTCCATATATAATATTTTAGTAGTTTTAAACAAAAGTAAAAAATGAAACATTAAATTGAAAAGACATCTATACAGCTTTGCTCTGAGGTAGAGGCTGGTTTTTCACTAGATCCCACTTATGGAAGAAAACATTGCCTTAAAATTTGGGGTATATTTCCCAGATCTAAGAAAAGAAAAAAATATAGCACTCAACAACCTGAAATTCTAGCCCTATTCATGCCTGGATTGGATGATATTGGATGATATTCCCTGTCACCCAAAAAGAAGGCTCACTGGTCTCAGATTCAATGCGCATATTCTGAAGTCCTTTCCAATCAAGAGCATTTAGTGAGAACTGTCCAATCCTGTGTGTCATCATGGAGGAGGAGGGTGGGCTTTCACTATTACTTCTTATCTCCTGAGTTCTCTGTTTTTGCCATTTGGCTGGACTTTGGTCTCATGCTTCAGAGTCTCAGATTACTCTGCTGTGCAGAAGCTGAAGATCCCAAGCAGGCCCAACTCCTAAGCACAGAGTCTTGCTGAGTTGCTAAGTGCCATACTAAGTTGCTCAGACTGTCTTGGAATTTATGATCCTTCTGCCTCATCCTCCTCAGTCACTGGAACTACAGTTGTCCATCACAAGACCTGGCTCATTTGCTTTTTAAAAGCACCAACTTTCATATTGAAACTGTTAACATTCAGGGATGTAGCCACTGATTTTACTGAAGAGGAGTGTGAATGCCTTCAGCCTGCTCAGAAAACTTTATATAGAGTTGTGATGTTAGAGAACTATAGAAAATTGGCCTTCCTGGCCATGACTCCTTATCATACCCAAGAATATTCACCAGAGAAGGGTATAAAACATATATTTCACAAAGTTATAAGTGGAAATATAGAAATTGTTATCTTGACCGTTTACAACAAAAGAAAATATGGAAAACTACAAGTGAGAGAAAACACCACAAATCATATCAAAAATCAGGCTTTGTTCACAACCAGAGAATTTATACTGGAGAGAAGCCCTACAAATATAAAAAATGTGGCAAAGCTTTTTTTAAAAAAAAAAAAAAAAAAAAGATCATATTTACTACAGAAGAACACACACTGGAGAATGTGATAACGTTTTTAAAGAAAAAAATCAATCTATATTAAGCAAAGCAGGATTTACTCCGAAAAGAATTCCTAGAAATTTGAAAAATATCGTAAAGTATTTAGTCAAAAATCAAACCTCATTTAGCAAAAAAGAATTCACACCGGAGAAAAGGCCTACAAATGTAAAGAATGTGGCAAAGCTTTTAGTAGAAAAACAGGCCTTATTTGCCACATGACTATCAAGAAAAATCAGGGCATACGTTGATACAATACAAAAATGTAGCCCATGGCTTTTTAAGGAGGAGTTGTTAAATATATCACAATGGAACCATCATGGTGAAGATTTAAAAAGAATAGACAAGAAAAGCCCAGGGACTCTGCCAGTTGGCACATTGCCATTGTGGACGTTCATATCTTGTTTGCTTAGTCCAAAGCCTTCAGTTCAGACAATGGTAGAGGAAGGAGAAGACATAATGATTCAAGTAAAAGAGAAGGCCTCTCAAGCTAGTCAGACAGAGGAAA